GTCCTTACTCTATTACAGTCACAGTGCAGCACACGATCATCCTGAAGCTTTATGTAAGTGAGGGGGAAACAAAATAAAATGGCATAATTTTGACTGTGTGATAAATGGTCAGATCCTGGTGGTTTATATGGTGACAATCCTATGAAGAAAGACCTCTTTAAACAGCTTCCTGTAACTGTCTACACAGGAGAGAAAAGGTTACAGCAATCAGAAATGAAAAGACAGCAGCTTCTTTCTGTTAACACCAACTTTATTTATAACAACAGATCTACTGAGCAGGCTGCTGCTGTTCCGGCATGCTCCTGATGATGTCAGAATCGCCTGAAGAGGAAAAGAGGAGCAGAGTCAGAGTCACTGCCACATATACAAAGACGCACACTTATACCGCCTGAAGAAATGCTGCATGTCTTTAAATGCCCCACACAAATAAAACAATAATGACATTGTGAGGATAAATGTTGCCACTGGAAGATCTCTATATAAACTGACTGTAAAGTGCTGGCAGTTCAACTAAAAGCTCTGACTAGCATTCATCTAGCAAACCACTAGTCCTGAGTGGGACTAGTGACAGCATCTGCCTCTAACAGGCTAAGAGGGGGGGGGGGGGTTGGGTGGGTGTCAATCTACTCCTCAGGGAAGCTCCACCAGTATCAGTTCAGATTGTCACTTTTGAGATATTTACTGTCATTTTAAAGCTTGTTTTGAATGTTATGTTGATTCATGGATTCTGGTCATTTGTTCCATGTTTTCTAAACTGAAAGAGGACTGCTAGCAAAAAAGCCCTAAAAAACAATCATTCTCCTGGCTACCTCCATATATGTAAATGCCTGTCCCTCTAGATGTCTGTGAAGGTTCTCAGTCATCCAGGTCATCGTAGTCAAAGGAGCTTGCAAAGAAAAGCGTCTGGACTTCTTTAAGTTGCTTGAAGACGTTTCACCTCTCATCCGAGAAGCTTCTTCAGTTCTAAGGTCAAATGGTGGAGAGTCCCAGATATAAACCTCAGTGGGAGTAACCCCCACAGAGGGACAAAAGGACCCCCTGATGACCTCTTTCGGTGAGCCAATGTGAAACTGCTGGCTGTTGGGTCCCAATCGCCAGCAGTTTCACACCTTGGCTCAGGCGATTAGAGGATCATCAGGGGGTCCTTTTGTCCCTCTGTGGGGGGTTACTCCCACTAGGTTTATATCTGGGACTCTCCACCATTTGACCTTAGAACTTAAGAAGCTTCTCGGATGAGAGGTGAAACGTCTTCAAGCAACTTAAAGAAGTCCAGACGCTTTTCTTTGCAAGCTCCTTTGACTGTCCCTCTAGTACTTGTTAACTAAGATGGTTACATCTGGAACGTTTAATATCTCCTAGAGAACTAAAATATTGTTTTGGCTGAAATTCTTTTAGATTTATGTTTGTGAACTTGCCGCCCACAAATCAATTTAACTTGCAGGCAGTGATGCACACCAGCTGGTGCCTCAAACATCCCACTGGGCTTTTTTAACACTTTCTCCCACAGTGTATATAACATCTAATTCCTGTGGAGGTGAAGAAGTGGTTCAGTGAAGATGGGTTTCACAATAAAAATGAGTACTCACCAGGGTCGATGATAGCCAGTGTGCACACCCTGTAGTATTTGCCGCAGGCTGTGCCCAACTCGATGTTGTTTCCACTGTAGTGGTGGACACCAGTCTTGGCCAGCATAGCATAGTATTCAATCTCAGATTTCCTGGACAGGTAATAAAGGTAAATGTGAGCCAAACGCACATGTGGTCAAATACTGCAACAAAGGGTAAAGCTGACACAAGACAATTTAAAATATAAAGAAACAAGTGCAGATAAGTACAGCCATAGATCCTTCTAACACTTGATTATACTGACTGTAGAGAAGTTTATGCACATTGTTTTTTTGAGTTAACCAATTTATAATCAACATTTAGATGAAATTTGTTAAAATTGTAATGAATATCTCAGCATCTTCTACAAATCAATACTGGAGACAATTAGTGTACAATAAATAGCAGAGATCCCAAACTTTTCTGAATTATGACGGGCATCTGCTAGCTGTATCACATGAGTATGATTACATCAAACATGTAGCTGTCCTTACCTACTCAAAATTAAGTTTACACATGTATACTTTTGTGCCTCTGCACTAAAAGACAGCGCAACAAGTACAACCTTCCAACCTGCACAGAAATTACAAGGATGGGACCAACTATCTGATAGACCACCTGCCACACGCCTGCAGCATCTTTTCAAATTCTTAACTCCCTATTTAGCGATGAGTCGAACAAAATGACATCAAAGAAATAAATTCTGGGGACCTTGGCATCCAAGCAACGTATGTTAAACCAAACACACACAAACAGAAAATGTATCACCACCTTCACAGGAAGATAATAGATATGAAAATCCAAATAACTGTGTATAATTTCTAAATAACCTCTCCATGTGTGACGATGTTTGTGTAAAATTTTGTTCAGAGTGGCAATGGAGGCAGGGTAAATACAGACATATATACATACACTATGATCAATGCAGTAAGATTTAGAGAAAGTGTAGATAATTGGTCATTTACTTTGCAGGTACACAGATTCTTACTATTGAAAATTAGTTGAACTATTTATGTTTTTGCTCATTATTACACCATCTTTGAACATTTAGCCTGAATAATACTGATGTGAAACAACAAACAATAGAAACATTCACTGGTGAATGTCGTCTTATTCACTAGCACATATGTAGCAGCTCAATAAGGTAATACCAATTTATGTTTGCATCAGTGCCCTCCCATTAATTAACCTCACTTCACTTAAATTTTATTTTTTTAAAATAATAAAGAAATAAAGAATTCCTTTTATTGTTAAACTTGTCATAGTTCTTTGTAGCACACTGAATCCCTTTCAATTCCTTAGCTAAAATAGTGTGTAGAAAAATATATTTAGGAAAGTCTTAATATACCTGAGAGCTGGGCAGTTGTTGGCCAGGATAACCAACTTGGCTTTTCCCTGACGGATCATCTTCTGGGACTGTTTGTAGCCCAGGACGTATTTTCCGCTTTTCATCACCAGCTGGAGACGGGAGTTGATGGACTCCATAGACTTTTTCTGAACACAGACACACACATATATCAAAATCTGAAGTCGGTGACAGTACAGGAGCTACACACCTCTCACACTCCACTACATATCGAATATAATAAATATGATAACTATAATAGGACACATAAAAAGCGCACACATTTAAACATGTTTTAACTTTATATTAAAGGGGGAAAGGTCCACGTTGCTGTCGTCATTTTCTATTAGATTTTATGAATTAGCATTAGCTCTACTGCCGGTACAGTTAAACATGAACTAAACGGGCGGCCACTAATAAACACTGTCATAACAATCAAGTATTTCATAAGATTTAAAGCAGCAAAAAATCAACACTAAGAGACACTGAGTAGAAATATCAAGTTTTAAGCGGAGTACTACAGCGCTAGCTAGCAGGCCCCGGCAGTTACACGTCTCCACGTGAAGCCTGGCCGTGCAGTAGCGCGTGCACTCCGGCCTCGCTCACCGTCTTCTTTGCGGCCACCATGTTTGCGGTTTAGTCCGGACCGGCCAACCTGCGGGCAGAAGGAGGATAGCAGAGGACTGTCGTTAAAGAGTGGGTCACAGCAAAATGTGAAAATGTGGCGAAAATCATATTTATTTTATAAATAAAACTCGGAGCTCGTCTTACTGTGAGTTAACTCCAATATGGCCTCGGAGAGAAAGGAAGTCCCATGGTGCACTGCGCTCGTATCACTTCGGCGAGCATGCGCAGAACAGGACTGGGCAGGCGGCTAAGGGTCGTTTTCAGATACTTCTGCAGTGAGATATATAGTGGACAAACGCGTCTATTTGAAACATTTTACTTAGCCTTTTACTAAAAAATTAATTAATTAAACAATATGTTATAGCTAAACTTAAGCAAATCTGTGGTGTTTTACATTAAAAAAAATGTGTATTATGATAGTCTTTAGTATGCCTAAATATTAAAAGCAATACATAAATGGATTCATGCAACTAAATGTCATTTGCATAATATAATAAATAATAACTCAGAAGATTAACTATTTTTAATAAGTGTTAAAAAGCGATGTGTTGTTTAAAGATTGTACTTTACCACTTCCGAACGGTTGTGCTTTTATTTTGAAATCCACTGCAGCGATATAACTGAGTCCTCTTCACCCAGTGTCCTACTTTTAATGTAATTAGGCTGCTTTAAGTCGATTTTTAGTATCAAATCAATCATCGATTATTAGTTTGGTTTGTTATGAATATTTTCTATACTTCTGACAATCAAATGGTGAATGGAATCTTTTTAACTCCGTAATTTGCCTCGAGTTCATTGAGCTCAGTGCCATCTTCATGTTTAAAAACTAAATGCTGACATTGCTCCCCCAACTCTGGAATAGCTTGCCACACCTCATAAGAACTTCAACAATTTAAAATATTAAATCGGCTCTAAGACCAACATATTTTCAGTTGCTTTTGGTCAAGTCTGAGGTCCCACGTGGATTGGTCACACAAATGTTTTCTATTATTTTGACTGTTTTTATATATATATATATATATATATTTTGTTATTATTTTTTAATTATCCATTTTATTATGTTGTCTGTTTATGCAAATGTAATTATACAATTAGGCTCTTGAGACCTGAATTACAGATGTGTGCGCCTGTTAAGCATTTTGGGTCAAAGACTGTCTGCTATATAATTAAAATGATCATGACTTAAATTCTAATATTACAGTTAAGCAAGCTAATTAATATAAAAAATGACAAACTCAAGGCTAAATTAAATATTTTGTAAGCTATACCAGCATTAGGGCTATTTACTATTGATGTTTGCTCAGTGGCACGTCGGCAGTAGAGCTATTTGTTGGTGTGGCGAGAGCGTCGCGCTTCACTTTCCCCGCCCCAAGAGGTGGCCTTTGCGCTCTGACTGAATAATGTATTTTCGTCCCTGAGCCAGCCTCAGGGAAACAGCCTAAGTTACAGTACACAACAAAAGCCAACATTTCACCTGCGTGCCCAACTGGAGACCTGCAACCACAACACAACAACCTGAAGTCGTTTACTGCAGGAAATGTGCGTAAATACGCACGGAACTGAAGGAATTTAGCGACCAGACGGTGCGTTTAGGCTGTCCTCCGAGGGTTTCTCATTTTACAGAAGCGATATATATGCACGACGTCATCAGTGCAGGCACAGTCAGTCCTCACCTCTCAAGTTTGAGATCACAGTCCTCTGTGTGCACAGGGCAGGATGGGATGCTCCACCAGTACCCAAACTTCAGCGGTAGATACGACTCGACCAAGCGCTAAGCTCGAGGAGAGCAACGGAGCCAGCACTACAGGTGAGACAAAGAAAGAAAAAAACATTTATACTTGTAAAGTATATGATATTAAATAAAGGTATTGAGATTTCTGAAAACATAAACATCTGTCCAGTCGGGAGATATGTGCCATTCACTGCAAGTATATTGCAAGTGGACAAATTTGATATTGTTTTATTTTGTCACAGTAAATATGTGAGAGTTTGACTGGAAACAAAGCTCTCATCCAAAAAAAACGACATCATATAGTTAAAAAATAACTTTGCATCTGTTTCTAAACTTACTTTCTATTGAATTCAGATTTGTTATTCAAAAAGGGTTTGATTAACAAATTTATATGGTTATTTTCATTCAGTCAACACAGTAAATAACTTTCTAACATGCTGGTAGGAATGTTGCATCATCCCCTTAATTATACTGAAGTGAGCACTGTTCTGATAAGGACTTGGTCTAAATGCAAATGTACAGCATCTGATGTCTTTATTTTTAATGAGGCAGAGCTCCACTGTGACAGGATGGGAAAGTTTATTGTCATTATTTAACGGTGGTTCCTGGCTCTGTCCTCTCTTCGAGAGAGACGGGGGCACGAAAGCAGATTTAGTGACAGTCTACAGTTTCATTAGGAAATGGAGAAGCCACTCTGGACGCTCCTTTGTTGTAGTAGGTCAGCGATGGCCCCGGCTGTGGTGCGTTTCAAGATTTTAAAAAATATGTTCAATTTTTTTTAAGTGTCATTTTTTACAAAACTTTTGATGCATTTGAATGGTGGAAATGTGAGTGTGCAGTTCTGCAGGCTTAAGCATTGTTTGACATAAGTGAAAGAAAAACTGGTAAAAGATTCACTAAGTGAGACCACCTCTGAGCAAGTGTCTCTTTGCACTCATTACAGGCTGCTTACTGCCCTGAAAGCATGGAGACACATACACAGAAGTCAGTACTTTCATGGACTTAGCTGATAAACCACTGACCCTGTTAAAGTGACAAGGAGAAATTTGCTTAATAAGTATGTGAGTAAATTTCCCAGCAGCATGGAATTAAACAGCTCATTCCTGTTTGTGACTCCCGCCTATGCTCTGGAAATAGTGTCTTAGAGGTCACATGGAAATCCATCAGGATGTTTTCTTAAGTTTGCATGTGCCTGACTCGTTTCACTGAAAGTCACTTGTCACTCCCAACAGAGGAGGAGGAGGAAAAGTTTGTTGATTTAAAGACAAGTTATTTCAGTGCAGACAGACATGGCAAAAAATGAACAGAGGATCTAGTCTAGAATTAGGCTTGATCAGTTTATCCATCTACATCCGTTATTTGATATCTCTCTTGCTGCATTGAGCATGTGTATGACAAAAGAATTTCCCTCGGGATAAATAAAGTTCTTTTTATCTTATCTTATCTTATCTTTTACATGCAGTCTATGTGGGCTTTATTGGTCCCCTTAAATCAGCAGCCTTCATTCAACTTTTCCAATTATGACCCAAAATCACAAAGACAGCATGTAGAATAATGTTTTCTGAAGTTTTATGTTGTCGTCACTGCTCCTTCGTGACACCTGTTTCAAGAAGTAATTTGCTTCTTCGCCAAGCTTCGAGGAGCTTTGAGAATATTAAAAGTTGAGAGTTAAGACTTTTGTGATCCATGCAAATACCTGCAATGCAAATTCTTCCGAAAAAAGTCAACAGGGAAGTGATGCACCCTGTCACGCAGCAACCTGTTTATAGAACTGTGCTGTTTGAGTATTTAAGTGTTTATTAACCTCAGTAATAGAAACATTAACTTCCTGTCAGGCTCCTTTTATGTGTGAGCATTGGTTCTTCGTGCTGTGTTTTGTTTTGTTTTTGCTTTTTATACTTTAGCCCTGTGTTTTAGAAGCAGTGCATGGATTCTCAGCTCTTCCTGCTTCCATGGTTTGCATTCAAACATTCACAGTCAAAAATAAATAGAATTAGTTATCCACTGTTGGATGATGTTAATAGAATATTTGTGGCCTAACATGGGCCGGTCACAGATGAACTCTTCCCTCTGGTTTTGGATAAGTGACCTGTGATGCCATCATGGAGGGAAAACAAGCAAAAAAATAAACTGAGGCAAAGGAAACACAATATTGATCCTACCAGAGTATCACTCAGGAATGCTTGTTCTTAGCAGATATGCTTCGTTTTTTAGATCTCTATATTCCACCGTGTCCTCAAATGACTTCTTTTGAATTGGTAAATTAAACTTAACTCAAGGTCCACTGATTTCAACGATCTGTGAGGTGAAACAGAAAGCATTATAGAAAAATACTATGAGTGTTTAAAATTAATTTCAGCTAAAGGAGCACTGAAAATTATCCGCAGAACCACATGATCACCATTGGTAACCAAAAGTGAAAATGACCCTGGTGTCAAACTGTGCTATACGAGGCTGTGGCTCACAGTCACTGCTCGGGACTTTCACTCTTATTGTACATATATGATATAAACAGAGTTTTTTGTCAACATTGTATCATATTTTCACTAATATTGATAATATAAATACCTTATAATATGTCTGGCTTTAAGTGAAAGCCATTATTACTGTGTTTAAACTATATATCTACTGTAATCTATATTGCAGCTGTAATCTATAAAACTAGCTGTTCATATTATCCAAATAAACGGCCTGAATGAATGTTTGCTCATGCTTTTTTCTGCTAACAGGAGCGGCCAATGAAAATGGGAATCTAGCTGAGGACAGTGAAACTATTCCAGACCAGACACCTGCTGAGGGAAGCGATGCCAAGCCTGGAGATGAGCCTGCTGAAGAGCCTGCCGTGACAGCCGCGTCTGCAGACACCACAGCTGCAACTCCACCAGCAGCAGAAGAGTCTCAGGATGCAGCCGGCAGCCCGCCCGCTGAGACTTCAGCAGCAGCAGGAGACAGCACCGCTGAGACAGCAGCAAGCTCCTCAGAGGCTGAAGCTCCTGCCCCAGAGCCAGGTAGGCGGGAGTCACAAACAGGAATGAGGTTAAATACTCACAAAAGGCCTTTTACTACATATATTCTTAGAATCTGTAATGTTTTAATGTTTTATTTTGAATTCTTCTGCACATGACAACACCACTGTATCTTCAGTCTGAGCTTACAAACATGCACATTATAAATGCTCGTTGTAATTCATGCAAAGGTGAACATGGGAATCGCTGCTCACACCCTCGTGAAACGTATCGGGCAGACAAGGACAAGAACCTGTGTGTGCGTGCATAAGTTGGGTTACTTAAAATGACACTTCAGAACATTTGGAGTGGAAGATTTTCTCTCTTGACACCTCTTGAACAAGTTACCACAGTAGTCGCATAATTAATGTGTCCAAACAAGTGATGGACAAAATGTACAACAGTAACCTGAGCTGTACTATTCCACCTCAACGTGGGATGCCGCAGTACAAAGGTACGTAATGTCTCTTCCGTTTTTAGTTCCTCCGCAACTGTAGTAACTACGCAGTATCCAACAACACACTGGCATGACTTTGGCCTCTAATGAACAAACCGCGGTGGCCACAAGAATGCGTTTCCAGGTCACACCTATGATCAGTACCTATTAAAGGATCTGTCTGCATATTGCACGAGCTTAACTGATCAGGTTAAATTTTCTTATGAATTCTTTTAATTACACGCTTTTGTGTAGTCGTGGATTAGACTACTTGTTGAAGTTTCACTGACTGAAACACACACAAAGTGTGATGTTGTTGAGGGTTTAGCTTGTAAAATGTAACATTTATTAAAACCTGGCAGCTGTCACTAAAGGGATTTGACATTTTGATAGAGGATAAAAAATAGCTGATAGCTTTTGTTTGGCCAAAAGCATTGAGGATATTTGTGTGATTTAAACTTGGAAATAAAGCATTTGTTGTGTTTGCTTTGCCTCCCAGCCCTCTGCTGTGAGTAGGACTCTAAATTAGAAATTTCTGCTGTAACTTCCAAGACAGCACCTCAGCAGGCTCTTCAGACCTGCATTGTGATAATAGCTCTGCATGCCTGTCCGCCAGCGATCATCTATACATGGAAGCGCTCTGTAGGAAGCTGCATGACAAGAGCAGCATTGCACTCACTGCTATCACAAAGTTACTTAGTGATGCAAATGACGAGCAGGTAGCAAATGATGATGAGGTCAACTTCATTTTCCTCTTTGTCTGATGCAAAGTGTTCATTGCAGTAAAGCGGGCCGAGCAGGGTGGCAGGTTAAACATCAAACACCAAACTTTTTAGAGGTTTTAGCTTCTATGAGACTCGATGCTGCTGTAGTGGGCGAAATTAAGTGAATGTTGCTTATTTATAAAAATGTATTCTTGTGTCTTCAGTCTAAGATCTGTGATGATTCTTGGAGTAATTTTTAGCCACAAAATAGAAGCATGAATGCCCATGTCTCAGAGCAATGCTGAAAAACTGTTTTATGCATGTGCTACTTTCAGACTTGACTATTGGATTTCCTTTTCCTTATCAGGTTTTCCTAAAATTTCCCTGAAAAGCCTCCAGTTGATCCAAAACACTGCAGTGAGAGCGCTAACAGGGACTAGAAAGAGAGAGCATGTTTTTCCCGTATTGGCTTTTTTTCACTGGCTCCCTTTTTAATCCAGATTTGAATTTAAAACCTGTCTCCTCACATGCAAAATCATGAATAATCAGGCCCCATCAAATGTTAAAGACCTCACTTTGTTCTCCGCCTGCTGGCTTACTTGTGTTTAATAGAGTTTCCTAGAGCTGTCAGGGTTTAGGAGACAGATAGTCGCTCTACTTTTAAAATTAATTTTAAAATTTCCCTTGTGATAAAGTTTATTCTTAGACTTACATTCATAGTCCTAGACTATAGTGATATTTTTACAATTCAGATTGTCTAAACACTCTGACGGTAACTGGAAAGAGAGACCATATTAGTGTCTCCAGATCCAAAGCACTGAATGCTTAGTCCCCATCATGACTATAGACCTCATACAGCCATATTATCCCAACAGAGCACTTTGCTCTCAGACTGTAGGCTTCCTAGAGTTTCCAAAAGTGGAATAAAAAATTCTACAAAAAATATTCATGAAGTAATGCTACCATAAAATCTTCATGGATGTGTCTCACAGATTAACTGTTCATCATTTAATCATTATAGTTAGAAAATCATGATCTTCACCCCCTGCGCCATCCAACTTCACTCACTTTGAGTTCAAATATGGCCACAGCCCTGTGTAGAGATGCTGGATGGAGCATGTGTTTGTGTTGCCAACACTTTGTTGTCACTGTGGTATCATTAAGATGCAATCTGAGTCCACATAGAAACTAGAGCGTTCCAACACATATAGGGCTTCCACCAGCGACGAGCGATGTCGGGACGGCTGAGCCTCCACGCCTCCATTTCACAGCCAGTGGAGAGAGAGGATCGAGTGTCACATAAGCAGAGCTGACAGAGCGGCTCGTCCACTTCTGACGCAGCTACAGGTTGTTTTTAAGGAACGACTTGCTGGAAATCTGCTATTCCTAGTTCTGCAATATAAGTTTTAACACCTTCAGATTAAAGGTGTTTGCATGGAGATTAATTTCCTTTTCTGTTTGGGAGGGAGGCTTTAGTTCAGGTTCATGCAAAATCTGCACTTCAGACTACAACAATACTTTGGGAGTGTGCTGTAACACAGTCAGATGTTTTGTTTGTTTGCATGCAAACATGCTAACACTTCAACTCGGTTCTGGTTATTGTGTTCATTATGCTGCAAGCTGGAAATCTGACAGGATTAGAGTGCTAAAACATTTGAAAGGGGGTGATTTATGTTCACAGTTTTTCCAGCTCTATGTTTATATTTTTAACTCTAAACTGCTTAGCACGTCTTAGTCTGTCGCAAGGTCAGTTACTACACGTCTTCCTCCCAGTTTTTCTTTCTTCTTTCAACTGTCCAGTCAAAATATGGGCTTTAAATAAATATATTTTAAAAATGTAATCATAAGGCAACCGAGAATGCTGGCAGCAAGTATCCTAACAGTCCATCGAGCTGTTTCACATTTCTGACTTGGTGAAAGAGACAAAATACCTCAAACCTGGAAAAATACACTCATCTTTGTTCTTCTGCCTGAGCCCACCACACCTGGACAGGTGGCCAGTCTGTCATAGGGCTAATAAACCTCACATAACATAACCTGATACCTTAAACAAACTGATCTAAAATGTGTGTGTGTGGTGCAGTAACACTGGGGACAAGTGGGGGAAAGTGTTTTCAGGAGAGTTTGTACCAGCTGTGTGGACAGAGGAGGACAGTAGTGTTTGGTCAGCACCTAAAGGCCAAAATAAGAAGAACACAGCTTAAATATGACAGCTTGTTCGTGTCTTAATTTGCTGTCTTTCTAAACAGAAAAAGGGGATGCTGGAGCGACTGACTCAGAGCCCAAAACAGACGAGACACCTGGTGAGCATCCCGGCAGCTTCCTCTTTATGTCACATGATCCACAAATTGGTATTTGAACTCTTCCAATATGCGTCCTCCTCTCTGCGTTTCTTTTCCAGCTCCCAGTGAGTGACGTGCGACATGACCGACTGCACAGAGGAGTTTATCTGCACGCATGAGTGAAAGTATGTCCGTGTGTGTGTGTGAGAAAGAAAGACATTGTCTTGTTGCCAAGATCCAGACCCCGTGGAAACCACTTTGAGTCCGGGTGCTCAGTCACCACTGTGCCTTCTTCCTCCTCCTGGATGTCTGCAGTCTCTCCTTTTCGACTGTGAATAGAGTTCAACAGCACTTAGGTTTCTTTATCTGTAACAGGTAGTAAACAGCTGAGAGAAGCTTAGATTACTATTTATTATCTGTAATGAAATAGCACCATAAACTGTATGTCCTTAACTTATTCTTGAAACCTAAGAGTTTGTTTCTGTGAAAACTAAAGCCAAAGTATATTAGATATTAGAAGATATTATATTTCTTTTTTGGGGGGTGAGGGGTAGCTAGCTTTGATTTTATTATCATATTTAAAGTAGGCGTAAATCTAAGAGGGTTTTTTCCTGATGTGTCATGATTTTTAGTATTCCCAAAAATCTGTAATTAGCAATAAGCTGTTGAAAAATTAAAAAGATCACCTTAAAATAAAACCCAGTACACATATTCTCTGTGTTTTAATTCGATGCAGGATGAAAGCAAACATGTCACACTGTGATACAGCATTTTTTATTTTTTTTAATGAGTGAAATTATCAAACCAGAAGCCAAGAGGAGGTTCAGATGATGTTGGGGCTTTTCCATCTGAGCGTCCAGTCCTACTGGATCCCTACTCTTTGTTTAATGAGCAGCCTCTGAGGTGTTAACAACTGAATGTGTGGACATCTATGAATGTCCACACAGTCTCCAACATTTCTGTGGACTTTGTTTACTTATAATTTTGGGTGTAATGAAAAAAACGCGTCAAATTTTTCCAGCAAAATTCCCTCCGCAACGGCGAATTCGTTGTACTGTGTTGTATTTCACACATACTAACCCATCCCTTCTCTGTTGTCAGTTCAGCTTCCCATTTCTTTTTAAGGTAAAAGGTTGTATCCTGTCTATCTTCTTCTAATGATCTGTAGAAGATGGAAATTGCTTTGAATTGTTCATAGCAATTGTTTACTAGTTACAACTCAGTGTTGCTCTGTTGTAAATTTAAATATTGAAACACTGAAAAAGACTTTGGTGAAATTCAGCGTGGCTCTTCAGGTGTTCTCTGGAAATACAATCAGGCTTCCACACTGAATCTATAATGACACTTGGTGGCGCTACAGCTTGTTAATGATGCGGCCGGCTAGTCTGGAGTCAGAGAGAGGACTGAGAACAACAATTGCCTCAATTTCCACCAGCCCACCCTGAGGAGAAAAGGAGGAGACGCAGATTGAGGCAAAATATGAAATGATAATATTGTCCAAAAATGAACACACACAGTCATTCAAAATCCCCCGCAAAAGGTTTTTGTACAAATCTCTGTAGTCCTATGAAAAACCAAGTGATCCCCATGACTCTGTAATTGTAGATCCACCTTTAGCAGCAATAACTTGAATTTGGCCTTGTTCTTTTTTCCAGCATTGCTTCAGTTCATTGAAGTTTGCAGGTATTTGTTTATATACAGCTCTCTTAAAGTCAGACTGATAGGCAGCATTATTTGCTTCTATAAGATCATTACAAATGTTCCTGCTTGGCATTTTGATAACACACAGCTGAATGATCCAAACCAGCAAACCACCAAAACTTCTGCTTTTACAAAGGTGTTCACACTTGCTGATCATCAGATAATCCAGTGCATTTGATGATCAGCACCTGTCTGCTATTTACCCTCTGCATTCTCTGAATTCAGTTTCTCTGAAACTGTGAGGATGTGCTTTTTCCCCGCACAGCTGTTTCCCTGGCGTTTAATGTAAATTTAACCCAAACTGAACAAACAGTGGAAAAACAGGACTGAACATGAGGAAAATACGAGTTCAGCTTATACAATTTGACCGAATCCAAAAACAGCATTTACACTACATTTACTCATTTGTCTAAATAGCAGCAGAGTCTCCGCTGTGTGACAGTGTAAGCAAATTAAGTCCGGAAAACATGATTAATAGTTTAATTTGTGGTTTAAAATAAAATGCAAATCCCTCCTTTTTCAACCTTTCTGTTTCCAATCAGCATAAAAATGAAATTCATGACATCATCCATATGTGCACAGTAGGGACTTTAAAGTGGGTGTGACATAATGTAATACAGTGCTAAAGGTGTGTAAAGCTGTGGTTAACACTCACTCTGGGGAGAGCAGCGACTTGGTAGGCAGCTCTGACAGGAAACTTACTGCTGAAAACTGGGGAGGAAAAACATTTTCATTAGATTTGCATGCATTTGCAGAAGCACGGTGAAGTTATTCACTTCCATCAGTGAACCCATCTATGAATCTCAATTTGAATGGTTCATTTCAGCTTCTAATAATATGAAAGGCTTTATTTATGAGTGGTTAGATTATTTACCCATGTATTATAGATAAGCAATAAAACAACAAGCACAGGTGCTTTGCAGTTGCTGGGTAGAAAGTTCCTTTGGCTGGTGTATAGCAGCAGCTGAGGATGGCTAACACACACACACACAACCTGGAAAGGCACATTTTTTTCTTAACTTAAGATTTATTACTCATTATTAAAGCTTAAATGCAATTTACAATAAGCAAAACCAGCATCTACGGCTTAAGACATTTTAAAACAAGGTAATAATGCGCTGCCAGTATTGCAGCTGCATTTAGTGGGGGGTCAGCCATTATTCATTTATACACCAGCTTTCACTTATAGAAGGAGTTATAGTTGTGTGAAGGTTCACTCTGTACACGTGCTCTTAACCGGATGTCCTTTAAACCAGTGTTTATAAAGCCTGACTTTAGAGGATCAAAGTTTTAGTGAAACGTCTCCTCACCAGGGTCAGGGAAAGTAACCTGCCTGTGGTTTAGGTGGCAGTGCGAGAGAGAAAGGTGGGAGTTAACATCCACTGCAGCAATGCCTGCTGGGAGAGGTTCGGTTACACGTGTGTGCCTGCACAGTGGTGTCTATTTACAGCTCTCTGGGTGCCGGAGCTTCCATTACACCTGACTGTTATGATCGGCGAGGAGGATGTCATCAGGAAGAATTACACACTTTTAAAATTTTATTTAAAATATGCACTCACTGGCCACTTTATTAGGCACATCTTTTCAACCGCTTGTTAATGCAAATATCAAAATCAGCCCATCAGCAACTGAACTTAGGGATGTAGACACGATCGAGACGACCTGCTGAAGTTCACACTGAGCTTTCACAAACTGCTTTTCCACCAAGGTATGCTGAAGAGGATCTCTGAACCTGGGCTACAGCAGCAGAAGACCACACTCTGGGTGATTATATGATTAAGGCTTCTGCTGCTAGTGTTGGTGTAATGGTTTGGGGGGAAATGTCTGTGAAGGTTCTCAGTCATCCAGGTCATTGTAGTCAAAGGAGCTTGCAAAGAAAAGCGTCTGGACTTCTTTAAGTTGCTTGAAGACGTTTCACCTCTCATCCAAGAAGCTTCTTCAGTTCGGTTTGGGGGGAATTTTCTTGGCTTGCTTTGGGCCTTTTTAGTGCAAAGTGGCCACAGGATATTGTTTTTTTCCTCCATTAGATCACTGATAGGCTCCAGATAATTTTATTATATGTATTAGGGACAGTAACAGCATATTAGTATTCCTGTAACACACGCCGGGCTCCATAAATAGGAATGTGTAAACATGTCCACAAATAAAAACAATTTGAGGTGAGTTTCAGTTTATTCCTCTGATCATTTTCACAATAAAAGTCCTCTGAAAGAATCATTCATCATCTGTTTTACTTCCTCATTCCACAAACTCTGGGAGACATTAACTGAATTCCTCAAAGGTCCTTAAGCAGGCCACACACACACACAGAGGAGGGAATTCACTTCCTCACTTTTAAGAGCACTTAATCATAGCCTCATTACCATAGTAACGCACCAGGACGCAGAACAACCCACCGATCTATCTAAAACACTCAGCACTCTGTAATTCAGCAGAAAGTCTCACACTGACCTGAAAATGGACCACAATGAGGTCTTATATAATTTAAATAGAATAACTGGCCACTGATTTGAGGAAAGCTCTGACCATCTTTGCTCAAAGCTGCCCCCTTGTGGCTACTTTCATGAAGAAGTGCATGCAGCGCAGTTTTTTAAGGCTTCATTAAGACTCCAAATTAATAAAGAGGCTTTTTTAACCAGCACGTGACAGCATGAAATAAAGGGAAATCCTGCCATGTGTGTGAGACCTGTATGCAAGGCCAGCTGTCATAAGAAAGCAGACCACAAATCTACTACACATGTTCATTCATAAATTCCTATAACATCTCTATTTTTCTGGCTTGGATCCTCAACCCGTTGATAGGCAGCTCTGAACACCACATCCAGAACACCTTGGATTTTGTTGAGAATGTGAGAGATGTCATTATGGAGGCAGATGAAACAATGGTATTGTACAATGTTACATCTCTCTTCACTTGCATCCCAGTCATGGAAGCGTTGGAGGTAAGAGATTACAGGATGATTCCAACCTCAACAACAGGAACACTCTCAGCATCAGCCAAGTGTGTTTGCTTTTGGAACAATGGGTCAGTTCCACAGGCAGAAACATGGGTGTGCCATGGGTTCCCCAGTTTCACTCATTGTGGCCAATTTGTACATGGAAAAGGTGGAAAAGAGGGCTTTGTTATCCTACCATGGAAACGCCACCAAGTCATTGGTTCAGGTATGTGGATGACACCTGGGTGAAAATCAAATCTCAGGACGTACATCAATTCACGCCATCACATTAACTCGGGAGTCACACAGAAAATGTATGCTTGACGACTCACCGCCAGTCCCTGTAGAACTCCCGGTCTCCAAACTGCAGCAGCTCTGCCACAAAGTTCAGAGAGGAATGTCAAAACCAACAGAAGAATATATTAGATGGATAGAAACCTGGGAGGAGGCAGCCAGGGGGAGGATTAGAAAAGGAGAGAGGAAAAGGTGTCTAGGTTGGTAAGGTTGAACTACTGTTGCTTAACAAATGTAACTCTTGAGACAGTATAAATCTCACTTCAAAAATGTTAAAACAATACAAAAAACAACAGGCAACAACACCAGAATCAAGGGATTAAGTCAAGTATTTAATTTAGAACAAGTCTGACGTAAAAATGAAAAAGTCTCTGATGTGCAGTCTTGATACTCACAGCTTTCAGCAGCTGCTCCACCATCCTAGAAAGATCAATTTCCTTTAAGAAGTAACAAATAAAAGGATACCTTTTCTTTATAAGCCAAATCTAAATATGTTTGAAGGTCGCTCCAGTTTCAGGCAAATATTTCTTGACTCTTGCTTTATTCCTGGAGCCACTGTGAGTGATGCAGTTAGTGTCTCTGTGTTTACACACCTGGAACAGTTTCATTGAGTTCTGAACACTTGGGATCCTCCACTGGAAGACACAGACTTAGGTCAATTTTTTTTTGCTGAGTATATTTTTCACAATATACTCAAAGAAGTAAAATGTTCTAACTCGGCATATCACAATTTCAGATTTTCACTAAAGAATCTAAGAGAATGACAGATACACA